ATATTACGTATTGCTGTCTTCGTACCTTTATTCTAAGATTTGAAGCATTCTTTCTTTAAACTAATCACTTCACTTGACATCCATATTTAGCAAGATAACTGGAATCGTGTTGACGTTGTCTATCCGATTCCTACAGCTGATAAGGGGAATCTGATTATTAAACAGAGCATATATACTGTCTCTTACCATGTCATTTAAGAGAGAGAGAAAGAGAAATGAGGCATGGTCCTCTACATTCTCTCCTGGGAGAGACTTCAGCTGTAAGCTATTTCTTTACATATAAGATGTGATATGTAAATATGTTCTAAATGTGGTCGTCTATCAAATGTCTTTTAACTTATACGATCTGTCACTTTGGAAATGCTCTATCTCATAGAAATTCCACCGTATGTAATAAGCCAGGACGCTTTAGTTTACGCCCCTCCAAAGGCTCTTCTCATAACTAGTGTTACCCAAGGCTGCCTCGTCTCTACTTTTACGAGACTGGGACAAGTGATATTGGCAACCTGCTCCTGGCAGCCTTAACAAAGGTTATGGGCCTCCCAGATATGTGCCCATGAAATGAGCGAAGAGTATTATATTGAAGTCAACGACTAGAGGAGTTTTAGACGGCGGCCGGTGTTCCTTTTTTTTAAGATGGGAGTTCTATAGAACATTTGGAAGCCGACAACTACTCGTCCTGGCGCACTGGTATGAAAGTGCTATTACTGGAGAGAAATTGCTGGCGTATAGTAACAGGAACTGAAACAAACTGAAGATGAAAATTACAAAGAATTGAGGGATTTCAACTCTAGGGAAGGACAAAGCCTACAGTAATGATATATTTGAACGGTCAAAGGCCTATAGATGTGTGGTTGATGCCACTGAAGATCCTGTAGCAGCCTGGAAAAGTCTAGAAGAACATTTCATGGTGACCGAATTCCCGTGCACGTGTAATAGGATTAACCGACTTCTTCTCGTAGAATCAATCCACAGGAGGAAATAGGGAGTTTATGCAGCTCGGATCCGGAAGCATAGCTGACCAACTAAAAGATGCCGGTAAACCGATGTTAACGGACGGTATCGCTGCTTCAACTAATCTGTTTCCTTCCGCCTGAATTCAACGGGTATTGTCTAATATATCTTATAGGTGGGACGACAAAGAGTTCGTTTCCTGACAAAGATTCTTCAAGAGCTTATTGCAGAAGAACTGTATTGAATTTTTGCTGAGGCTATGATAGCAGTATAAGCATCTGGAAGTTTAAATAAGCACGTTTTAGGGAAGAAAGCTGCAAAAAATTTATGCAACGTATTAAATATATATAGATATTGACATAACAAAACATATTAAACCTCATCTGTTATTTCTTTTCATAAATAGAAATTACACTTACAACTATTCTGAGGTAAATCACTTTGGAGTCGTATTAATTTCACTCCATAACAGGGCTCGAAATGTCAGCTCAGCCGGGTGAGCGTTAGCTTTAACCTCACGGACCAGGGCTCGAGTTCCTATTTAATTCTTCACTTAAAACTGCAAGAATCGGCATATTATTTCGCTGCAAAGTCCAAATGAAACTTTTACTCTTTCCATAATCTAAACACTTTTTTACTTTCTCGTATACGAAGCATACAAAGAGAAAGTATTGTAATCGTCAAAGAATTCGAACTCGAGATTTGAAGAATCTCCACGTTTTGACATCCTGAGTCCGAAAACACAATTTTGATATGTCCATCTGTGTGTCTGTCTGCGAACATGATAACCTTCGAAAACTAATAGAGCCATGTTCCTGCGAAATTCTAGTATGTGGTCTCTTAAAACATAATTCTTGTAGGTTTCTACTTTGACAAAAAATCCTTCAAAGGGAAGTCTGTCTGTCTTGTATGTTCGAGGTCATGCGAACGCTATAACCTTCAAAAAAACTTGAAAGCCAGATGGATAAAATTTGGGTACACAGTTTTATCGTCATGTATGTAGGTCCGTATAAAACCTTTTAAGCCAAATCCGTCAAAGGGCTGGACTGTCTGTCGGTCTGTATAATAGCATACTGTTCTACTCCATGAGCATGCGTAAATGCCTGTGCAAAGAAGGGATACCTGAAATCCTGGTAGTTTACAAAAACGAACTCCTTGCGGCGAGATTTTGTGCTGGCGCAAACATTTAGGGCGTCTCTCGTTTTACTTGCGTATTGAAAGCACCTCTGCATGCGCAAGCTATTCTTGTTTTCTTTCTCCGCACGCGGAACTGCATTGCTAGAGTTTGATAAAAAAAAAATTATATTGGCAGTTTTAATACATACATATCTTTTGAATATTATTCTTCACCTCAATATTTTACTATCACTATAATCAACAATGAAAACCTTCTGATAGTCATTGCATTCTGTCATATTGGTCTGAACTTTTATGAACGCAAGGGAAGAGAAATGACAAATATTTGAAAGTATATTGAGAAAGTTTAGGGAGGCCACCTGCTGGTTTTTCTACCAAAGCAGGTTCCTGTATCAGTTTTAGATTTCATTTAATAAAAGAATAAAGCAAATTAAATTTGTCTATGAATTAGATATAACTTTGTATTCCAGTGCCTAAGCCCTTCTTTTCTTCATTTCCCCAGTGCTGCTATTAATTTTTAGACTTGCACATATGTCCTCGTGTAATTTGAAATTACTGTATGATTTTTTTTCTTTGAGATGAGTATGCTTGGTGGGAATTATCCTAGTCCAAAATGTGGGGAAAATGTATTAAATAGACAAAGTTAGGCTAACTCCTTATGGGCCCGGTAATTTAAATCTGACATATTTTTTAAGATATTTTGGGGTAATTTGTCTTTGCGCTTTCATTTACTTCATATGACTAAATAATCGCGCATACCTTAAATTAAAATCAAGCATCTTTAAATTTTAGAGCATTATGTTTAGGATTTTTCCAAGTTTTCAAATTCTTTTGGTAGATCAATATCGTCCAATATTTTTCATTTTGCGGAATGGCTTTCTCCTTCCATAAATCAATAACCTGCAAACTTTCAGTTTGAGTATTGGAATACGTTAAAAAAAGAGATATAATTTCTTTTTTTTACAATTTTCTTTAAAATTACTTTTAAATTGAAATTTTTATACGCGACATATTAAACCCAGCTCTCTTCATGGTGATTCGCAACTGAATGTTTTGTCAGTTTTAAATTTTGTTACTTAAAAAACCTTTATGTAAAATTAAATTAAACGATAACAAAATATCTGGTTTGGGAAATTTGAAGGTGGTGTGCGGGGCCCCTTGAAACTTTGTAACTCGTCTTAAGGGCCCCCACACAGCTTAATCCGACCCTCTGCCCAAAAAAGCAATAAGCATGCGCCGCCTGATACGACCTGCTGGCTGTTCTCCCCTTCTGCATGCTGATGTTGATTTTGCGGAATGAAATTTGCATGGATTATGACAGCTTTAATGTAGTTTTACATTACAACAATTACAGGGCCTAAGGGCGTTAGTTTATGGACATTAAATACTTGATAATAATTATATTAATATTTATAAATAATATTAACTTTATAATAACCATAAAAAAAATCAAGGATTTATAAGTAAATGTAAATACAATAAATGAATAACTAAGTATAATATATAATAACAAATGTATACAATTATAGAAATAAATGTAATAATAAAAGTAGAAAAATATGGATAGATAAAATAAAGAATAAAAACAATATATAGGGAAAAGTCGCCTAGATTGGACCGACAATTATCGTAGCTTCAATTCTATCAAATATTTATATGTATATGTGTATAAATATTAAACATGTAGTAACAATTATATTAATATTTAATGTAAATAATATTAACTATAAAGAAAAAAATCAAGAATTTTTAATTAAATATAAATAAAATACAATGAATGTTAAGTATGAAGTATAATGAAAGTAAGAAATGTATACAGTAATAAATAAATATAATCATAATAATAGAGAATTATGGATAGATAAAATAAAAAAATAATAATCACAATATATAGGGAAAAGTCGCCTAGATTGGACAGACCAGTATCGTAACTTCAATTCTATTAAATATTTGGGCAATAAAAATAGGCAACTTACAGCTACACTGATGTATCTGAAGATTGATGGAATCATCTTTGTGAGAAAAGAGTAGCAAAGAAAAACAAGTGCTAATAGACACTCATCGATTAAATATGTCATAGTACCTTTCATTCTGAATACGCAAAATTATTCTTTTACTAATGTGGTAGGAAATTTGGAAAGAAATGAAATAATCTTCATACGAGGGAAAAGCATTTGTGTATAGCGTTTGTCAAGACTAGTTGCTAAAAGCTAGTCTCTATCAATGGGGCCAGTGGCGCAACGGATAACGGGCCTACTACGGTCAGGAGGATTCCCAGGTTCGAGTCCCTGGCTGGCCTGCCTATGATTATATTCTTTTATTAGCTTGTAAAAAAATTAGTTTAACTAATCATAATAAAGACCGACTTTATTATCTTGCATGTACATATTTCATTTATTAAGGTTGGTACACTAGTTGATTCGAGTCATTGAAGTTATAAAATAATAGCAACCCCCATTTCTCCTGTGTGTTTCCAGAGGCATGAGGGTAGCCTTATTGACATTTTATAGCTTCAACGACACAAATCGGCTAGTAAAAAATTTGTTATTAAAATTAAATTATTTAAAAATTATTAAATTATTCAAAATTATAAAATTATTAAAAAATAAACCGGGCCTAACACAGAATATTCATTCTCTCGAGTTTTTTATAGAAACATTATCAATGAGAATATATTCTTATCCTTAGTTGCTATGTAGTCGTGGTCGAGTTTTTAAGGCGATGGACTAGAAATCCATTGGGATCTTCCCGCGTAGGTTCGAATCCTACCGACTACGAATGTTGTTCATTTTGCATGTTTTTTGCATCCAACGAAACATAATTTTGATGAATTAATTTGAGAAAATGGATAAATTTAAATATGAAGCATGTCTAAGTTGTTTTTGCAACACTTAGGACTGGAAAGGTTTAACCCCTTACCAGTGTATATTACGCATCGAATTAGACTTATCTAAAATTAAGTTATTCATAGACGCAATCATTCGATACAAAAATGACGGGTAATCCATTAACATCTCAAGTAACCAATGGACATGTAGTTGAATCAATACGACAACGCATCCTCAAAACAGAAAGAAGTAAAGGATGTTATAGAAAAGTACACTGTTTAGGATTTAAACAAGTTTTCTTAAAGCATTCATACCATAGAAGCCTCCGTGGCGCAATTGGCTAGCGCGTTCGGCTGTTAACCGAAAGGTTGGTGGTTCGAGCCCACCCGGGGGCGAAGTTTATTTTCACTTTCATCGTACGAAGTATCGATTCCGTTGTGAAAATATCTTTATCGCTGAAAAAAATCGATAACTTGCTACTGATAGTTTCAATATCCCGAGACTCCCACTTTTGGACGTTTTTACTCCAGAAAGGGGTGACAGGCAATGAGAAAGATGGCGTATTTCCGAAATTCTTTGTTAGATCACGCTAAGTAAAATGTAAACATCTCCCCCTATTTTGGTGAAAATAATTTCTCCTGGCGCATGCGCAGAAGCGTGGAGGATTTCGGAATCCGAGAACATACAATAAGTACGACGATTAGATATGGGAATATTTTCCGTTCGGTTTTTATAAGGTAGGGGGCCCAAATATCGCCCACGTAAGCTATTATTTTATTCAGAGGGTTAACTCATGCGCAAATTAATCCAAAAATAGTTCCAATCTATTATCTGGACTGTTACCCAAATTTATACTCAATTATAATTCTATAACAAACACACCAACACTCTTATTGCGACTGCAATATTTTTCCTTCTAAAAAAAGTATTCCTAATATCGTCCATTCTACGTTCCTAATGTCAACCACTATATGTTCCTAATATCGACCACTATATGTTCCTAATATCGCCCAATATATGTTCCTAATATCGACCACTATATGTTCCTAATATCGAACACTATATGTTCCTAATATCGCCCACTATATATTCCTAATATCGACCAGTATATGTTCCAAATACCGCCTTCGTCTGAAATGGATTGAAATGAAGTCAAACTTATGCTATGATTATACTTTCTTTATTCAACATGAAAATTAAGTAATGCAAATTTCAAACCAAAAAATCTCTGTTTTGAATAAAAAAAGATTTCTTTATCTATTTAAAATCATATATATATAAAAGAAGCAAAAAATAATAGAAAAATATTATATATAAATTATTAAATATTAGTTATATAAATTATTAAAAATATTAAATTATATATATATATAATTCAAATTGGATAACGAAGACCAAAATTTAAAAGCATAAATAAGTTATTTTATATTACATTTTTATCATCAATAAAGTTTTCTTGGGAGGGGAGCCTCAAAATAACTTTTCGCCTGGGGCCTCATATGGTCAAAATCCGCCACTGATGAATGCTTGTAAATCTCTCAAAAGAGCAACTCTCTCATAAAAGTTTACGATGTTGCTCTCCGTATTTGCACAACGATGGCTGTAAATGCTATCTATTAAGATCATTCTATTCCGTAATGCTTTGGCTTTTGTCTCTACTTTCAGGAGCATCTACCGAAGCCACCATAGCTCAGTGGTTAGAGCACTGGTCTTGTAAACCAGGGGTCGTGAGTTCAATCCTCACTGGTGGCTGAGACATTAATTTTGCTTTTCATTATTATAATTTTTAATTACAGAACATTAATAAAAATTGCATCTTCTTTGAATTCTGAATGTAACTTTTCACATCTTCAAACTCTATGCTAGTTTCATGAAAGAGGGTCATTGGTAGGCAACTTTTAGAATTTAAAAATATACTTTCACCCTTCAAACCCTTCCCTATTCCCGGCGTGTCCGGATTTCAACTAAAAAATTCACGGTAACTCTAGTTGTAAACAGAGGGTGCTGCCAGTGGGGCGTCCGGGCCTCCCTATAGGGTAAGCTGTGCCCCACCCCCCCGCGACGGAGTCAAATTTTGTACCCCGTTCACGCAACTGGCTATTCAACTATTAGATAAATAAAGCTATGGCGAAACTTTTAGATGGTCAGCATTACGCTCCTACCGTTGTGCAGCAGGTCGTGCCTTCCCTGTCGGAGAGACCCTCCCCCCGTCGGGTCGTTTCATGAAATCAATTTTACACTCATGTATTAAATTAATATTATTATTTTCCTTTTCGGGTATTACTTGTCTCTCTAATTATAAGTTTGCGACGTAAGAGCAAAAGACGATGTTCTCTGCTGCTACACCGAGGAATGGCGCTAGAGTTTCCCCGACGGGGGGCCGATTTGCCCGTGCCTTGGGGGGCATGACCTTCTGTACGGAGGGACAAGTGAAATTGGTCGCAAATTTTCGCCAGATTATTATTTATCATCTACAGTTGAATACCCCTTACAAAAATCTTCCCCGACGGGATACAAAATTTTTCCCCGACGGAGGAGGGGCACAGCATCCCCACCGGTACACCCTCTGGCGCCATCCCTGACAGCACCTGTATTGGACTTACTGAAAAAATCTCGCAATCCATCTGCCGAGTACGAATCTTTGCGGTTGGTTTGGAATGCAGTCCACGATTCTTTCATAACCTGCAATGAAATCACTGTTGAGTTTGAGTGTGTCGGCTCTGAAGAGATTGCTGACATTTACGACTTTTACTCCAAAGATGTTGGCGAATACCATAAGGAGGTTGATCAGGCCGTGCGCAAAAGACTTTACTTTTACATTTTGCGCACGGCCTCGGGTTCATCCACTGTCGCTGAAGCACCATTGCAGATCTACGATACGATATCAGCTGTGGAAAGGCATGCAGTGGTTTCCGGAAGGCATAGAACAAATTGGTCTACCGAGTAGCCTTCAGTCATATTTGAAGCTGAAAAGCAACTGTAGCCTGTGACAAATGCTCAATGCAACGTTTGTTTCAAGGAATGAAATGCTTTCGTGCACTCAAGTTTTGATTATTCCAATGTTCAATCTGATATAATTGTGGGTACTTACGTATTAACGCCACCGAGGCTACAGATTTGGGGTTTTTGTACTTACGTATTAAAGCGAATTTGGCGGTTTTTGTATTTACGTATTAGCTCCAATTTGGCGGTTTTTAAGTGGCGCCAACGCCACCGCAGCTACAGATTTGGAGGTTTTTAAGTGCCGCCAATTTGGCGGTTTTTGTAAACAAGATTGCTTTTTATTGGCGCATTATCGCCAATCTGTAGCCTCGGTGGCGTTAATACGTAAGTACCTAATTGTGACTTCGCAACTGCTTAAAAGTTTTATACAAAGTGTCCGTTAATTAATTTAGTGCGATTCCTCAATCTAAAGCCTGACATTCTCGGCGGCTTCATGCCACGTGAATGGCGTGATGGTACTTTATTCCACCATTTTTTTTACCAATCTATTTAGAAAAGTCATTCTCTCCGAAAAGCACAAAATCCATCCGCTACAGGTCATTCCGATCCCCTAATATACCTACTTCTCCCCCGCCTTCAAAAAGAGAACCCCCCACCTGTGAATTACTATTGCTATTTTTATAGTTACGGCGACATATATCGGATAGTGTGCACCGGGCTTAGTCAGCATTTTCCATGTGTGCACTATCCGAATGCTATGATTTTACTTGCTACACTCTGCTAATCACTTCTCTAAAATTTTGCAGTTTATTGATCCGTCAAAAAACCAGATATGTGCACTAGACCTATGTGCCTTCATTTCGAGATTGCGCAGTTAGAGATAGAAGCAAGGACATATTAAATTTACATAAAATATAACTTGAAATAAAAATTTATGTTTATTACCATATTTCGTCGCTTAACAAGCAACAAGACCTATCCCAATTTTCTACGTTTTAGAAAATAATGATAATAAAAAAAGAATTTTTCGCAAACAATAAAAACCATTATTTCTGTTTTTTTCCCACATCTGATGTGAACACGTGGTCTCATCTTCATACCAGAAGTGAAGCAAAATAAGAAATAATAATTGTCGGTAGAGCGATATTTCTGCTAAGCAGTTTCCGTAGAGGTCGGAGAAAACCGGTGGTATGCGCTCTACCCAACTGTTATGAATGGACTTCAAGCGCTAATTGGTTCTCCGACATTTTACCGCTAATGATTTGTTCGTCAAATAATCTGAAGCGCTGATCATATTTTAGAACAGGTTTTTTCGCTACCATTAACAAATATTTTTCGGGAGTGGGGGTCGGACAAAAAATTTATAGACACCGAAAAGTACCAGGAAATATAGTGGATAGATAACAAATTTAAAAATTTAGTTATTAAATTAGTTAGCTTTCCCGGACACTATCTATTTTTTATAATGACTAGTTTTTGTCCGAAATAATGAAATAAGAATTTTTTTTCGCAAGTGGGGAGGAAGCACC